AGAATAATTAAGGAAGCTTATGCCACTTTTGTTTAAAGTTTATGAGTGAAGAATATTTAAAGGGCATTTGTGGACCAAAGAGCAAAACATATGAATATATTCTGAATTCTTGATCTAAATAGAGACCACTCACCCTTTTTCTTTCTCTTTGATTGATAAAGATCTGATATGCAGAGTGAAAGAAAAAGGAGAGAATTAAAGGAAAGTTTTTCCTTTCTTTAGATCAGTATTCAGTATTGAAGAACAAAGAATAAACAGAATATGCAGAAGCAAGGATATGCTGAGGGAAATGGCTCATAGTTTAGTTACATTTCTAGGGACAGGATAACAAAGGGAGGAAAAGAAAAGGGGAATGACCATTAAAGAAACTTATACAGAAAAAAAAAAAAAACTCATCTCTGCGAGGGATTACTAAAGTGCAAAGGGTTCAATTCTTCCTGGTGCAGTCTAAAAGAAGTCTGCACAGAAGAAACTGCTTTTTTCTGATTGATATATATTCTGGGCAACCCCCCCGGCCCTCCCACCTTGCTTGCTTTGTATACGGCCTCAGCAAAGTTGGACAAAAGCTCGGCACATTATTTATTCCAGAACAATCTTTGGTCTAGTTCTCGTTTCACTTTTCTTTTCCACTAAGGCACTCTAATAATTGAATTACAGAGGAACACAGAAAAAGGAACATGTTCGGCATGAGAAAAGGCATTCCATGGTTGATCTTGATCATCATCGTCATCGTATCAGGCCTTTGTGCAGAATAAATTTAGAAAGAAGATGCTGGGATATTGATCTATTCCCATTTGAAGTTTCCTGGATTCTAAACCTAAATTGCCTTTAGCCTTTTGGAATTTATCCAGAGATAAAATAATTGACAGAATATCCTTAATTCACATGTAAATGTGAAAAGGAAAAAAGAGACCATATATATCTTGCAAATAATATACATAAGCAAAAGGTTTTCGAATAAGTTGAAACTTTTTTTTTTAGATGAATCAAAATATATATTATCATACGGAGTACAAGGGCTACTTCACCCATAATTTCAAAACACCTTACATAATAATAACAGATAAGGCACTCTAAGCTGAATAAGTTGAAACTTAATTTTGCACCTAATATTGTAGCTTGTTGATCAATATGTTTGATCTTTGGGGTTTTTCACAAGGATGTAATTCCTCGCAAACCCTTAGTCCCTTACTTCTTCTTCTTCTTCTTCTTCTTTTCTTTTTTTTTTTTTTAATTTGAATAGTCAAAGTGTTTTTTAGTCAAATTTTACACACTTTAAAAATAATCTCTTTCTAAATAACCTTAAAAACACATTCCTCATATTAATTTAATGCATTTAAAAAAATTAATTTGCTTAAGTGTTAATCCCAAAACTTGAACATGTAAACTTACAAGACAATATTTAGTTAGCACTGGACACTCACTACTTTTAGTATGAAGTCTTGGCTTTGATTGTTCTACTTAACTTAAATCCACAAGATTTTGGGGGAAAAAAAAAAAAGAGAAAAGAATCTATCGCCTTGGTACATAGGTTAGGTGTGGCATGCCAACAAACATTGTGGCCCAATGATTATAACTCTTTGAGAATTATGATGGTATCTAAAAGTTCAAGATTTAAACCTTGACAATCTCATTTTCTCCTTCTCCAGTTGTACTAGTTTAGGAGAAAAAAAAAAAAGAGAAGTTAGGTGTCGTATAAATTACAAAAATTTGACACTTCAAGTTGATTGAAGGCCTTATCAATTCAAATCTTAAAGACTGGTGAATGGGGAACTTTTTTAAGAAAAAAAGGAAGAAAAATTTTATAATTGATTGTATAATTAGATATATAAAAAACATAAAAGAGAAAGAGAAAAAGAGGAAAAAAGTATTTATCTACTTTATTTCTTGAAAATTAAAAGTAAAAATACTCTAAATATGTGATTTTAATAAATTCTTAATGAAAAATCTAAAATACTATATTTACTTAAAAATATGAATTAGACAATTTTTAATTTTTTCTTATTGTACTTTATTAAAATGATATAATTTTAAAATAAGTTTTTTTTTAAAAAAAAATTTTAAGATGTAAGACAAATAATTACTAATTGAAGAAAAGATATTTCATTGTTTTATATTTTGTACTACCAACAAAATAATATGGATTCTGATATTTGAACTTTAATTTTATCACACAACCCTTTTATCAAAACCTAGGATTCCTCTTCAATTAGTCCTTTCCATCTTTTTAAAGACACCCTCTAATCCCCTCTCCCTCATAAAAAGAGACCAGAACACCCACAAAAGTTTAGCATGAACCTCATGTAATTTACAGTCTTAATTTCCTTGTATTCACACCAGCACCAAGGACATAGAATCAGCTTTTAATTTGTCCACTAAATGAAGTCATTATTAGAAATTAACCCATAGTCAATAAAGTTCAAAAAAGATATATATGAACATTTATAGGCCCAGGAAACACATTATTTATCACTAAATTTACTGAATTGGTGCAACAAATTACTAAAAAATTTAGAAGTAAATGTAGTTTGACTTAAAAATTTAAATTCTTTGCAAAAGATGTGGTGCAACCTAGGATTCTAGAAAAGTTAGCACTGCTGAATAATCTCACTTTTAATAATCAGACAGAAGGTGCACTGCTTAATTTCTGACTTTACTGTTAGATAAAACTCAGTTCAAGATATTTTACTTAATTATTACTTAACTTTTACAAGTTAATAATTCAAGTAATCCTCTTCTGATGCTCTAGCGATGGGCTGATCTCGTCAGTCCTCACGAATGAAAGTATTACATGAAAGATGAAAAAAAAAAGGAAAGGAAACATCGAAATAATATTTTAATATATAATATAAATAAAATTTTAAATAATTTCTTATTAAATAAAATTATTCAATAAAGACTATATATGGTAAAAAAAATTATTTGACATTTCGGTTAAACATATTAAAAAACACCACTTAATTAATCAAGGCGTAATTAAACGGGTGAAAAAAGGAAAGAAATAGAGTAAGATAAATTCTCATGATTGGAATGAGGAAAGGGACTTCTCTCACTTTAGGAGAAACATCAATCCATATGCAGTACTTCCAGTAATTTTCTTTGAAAATCAAACCCCAGTTAGTATATAGGGAGGATCTACGCTTTGCTTTTCCTAATTTTATCTTCTTTCCTCATTCCGAGGACCCATGAGTATATTTTTTTAATTTAAAAAGAAAAAGAAAATTTAAAGTTTTTTGCTTTCTTTTTATGTGATCTGTCTCAAAACCCACACACGTACGAATTGTATTTTTATAATTAATTACTTTGGAATAAACTTAATATAAATTACAAAGGCATCTTCTCCTCATCATGGATTATCTTGAATCTGATTCAGTCTCGAGTTGGTTGTAAAAGATGAGTTAATTCCTAATTACTACATTGTCTACTTCACAACTTAATTGCTTTTATGAAATTCAGAGCCAATTGTATGATATATACTTATATTGCTTTGATCCGAGAATGAATCTTGTTTTGCATATTGTATTCCCTGATTTATGAAATAGGAGTTTGCTTTTACGAAAATTAATTATTTCTATAATTATATGAACTACTAAAATCTTAAATATTGAAGGAATTTAAATTTATTCAGCTTCAACTTGAGAGCACATGGATGAGAGAGCACAAACAAATATGAGTAGATGTTATATTGAACCCAAAAAATATGTATCTTAGATTCATGAGCTTTTCAGATATATATTTCACTCTAATACCTTGTTTTTCTCATTGATGTAGGATTTAGTATGCATCTCTTAATCCATAAACACGAGTCTATTATCACGTTCACATGTTTTTATGAGTGTAACTATTTTGGACTTTAGACCTCATCTACAGAGTTTTTACCACACCATGAACTTTTCTACACTCACACTTGATTGCCATTACGATTAGAGCACATGAGTGAGAAAACACGAACATATATGAAAAGATGTCATATTGAACATTTGAATCCAAAAGACATGCCTATTAAGTTTATAGGTCTTCTACATATATATTCCATTCTAATACTTTATTTCTCATCGATATGGGATATTGTGCACATCTCTCAACTTCATTTTTATGTTCATAAATTCCAACATTATTACTGTATATATGAAGCCAAATAAAAATAAATAAATAAATAAAAGAGTTAGGAATGCTAGCTCTGTAAGTACATGAGTGAGACATTGTGAATTGATATGTGTATGTATAAATATGATTGTAATGGCATGAATCCATGACCATGTTGATGAAGAAAACTGTTAATTTCATGAAGAGTAATTAATTAGGATGAAGATATATACATGCACATGAAGATGCCAAACAAAAAAGGAACCACGGAATGGATGACATAAAGGAGTGTCTTAAGGGAAAAGGGAATGTCATGATTGAAAGAAGAGGGATATCAATCATGTAACCGTCCTTCATATATTCTTTCCCCAATTATGTATTTCCAAGAGGTCCACCACCTTAACCATTCAAAGCTAAAGCTTTAGCCACTTGTGTTCCCCCTCTTTTTAAGCCATCATCTCATCATGCATCAAGCAGAGACTACTCATATATATATATATTTACACACTTCTCACATGCAATGCAAATGTTATATCTACCCCATCAAAGGTTAATTTTGGAAGTGATTTTGATTTTGACCATCATATTTTTGTAGCTTTAATATATTAAGACCAAACCGTGTCTTACATTAGACCATCCAACAATTTAAGTATGAAGGTTTCAAGTTTTAAAATGTTTGAGTTAACACACATATATATATATATATATTCTTTGAGTTTAAATCTTGAAATAAAAGGGATTATATACATTGGAAAATTATTTATAATTTTTTACATTATTTTTTATACAACTTTAAATATCATTTAAATGATTAA